AAACCAATATTACATGGTTGGTATGATTGTTAACACATTAACACATTGTATGTCTCCCAGACGATGCAATACAGTCTGTACAATGCCTAGGCATGCTAAATTATCGATCTGATCTTGGGGGATATATTACACCACTCAAAAAGCAATGCTCTCCGAAGTTCCGGTAGACATGGAGGAGGAGGTTGACGGGCTGCAACTCGTCGGCCAAGCATGTCCCACACGTGCTCTACTGGATTCAAGTTCGGTGAGAATGCTGGCCAGTCTATACGGGTGATATCCTTCGATTGAAGGCATTCCCTTACGATGTTTGCACGGTGAGGACAGGCGTTGTCATCCATAAACACAAATTGTGCGCCCATGGCGCCCGCCCCGAAACAAACGTACATGTTGTTCCAGAATGAAGTCTCGATAGATTTGGCTTGTCATGGTTCCAATTTGAACATGCAGGTCAGTTCTGGAACCCAGAATAATTCCACCCCCAACGAGCACTCCTGCACCACTGTAACAGTGTCGTTCAATGATGTTTTCTTGGTGGTAACGGGTACCTGGAGCTCTCTATATGAAAGTCCGGCGAGAATCAGACTGCAAGCTAAACCTGGACACGTCGGAAAACATCACACGCGCCCACTGTTGCGGTGTCCACAATGCATGTTCTCTACTTCAGGCTAACCGCAGGCGACAGTGAGTTGTAGTAAGTGGAACGCATCTGACAGGTCTACGAGCATATAGACCAATCTGCCCTAAGCATCTGTACACGGTCTGCCTTGAAATTGTCGTAGCGGTGGCTTGAAGGCTGACGAAAAGACAAGGTCTGAGGCTGTGCTCCGCCTGTTTCTTTTGGCAGTAACTGCCAAATACCGGTCCTCATTTGGCATTGTAACTCTGGGGTGACTTGTGCTGTAACGTCTACTCACATTACCATCATCTTGGAATAGTTTCCAAAGCCTAGAGATGACACTCTAGGCAATTCCAAGTTCGTCTGATACTTCCAGTTGAGTACGCCCACATTCCAGACGGCCGATAATTCTATCACGTAAAAAATCATCCAAATGCGTGCTTTGTGTCATAACTATTCGGTTATTGCACTGAAATACTTATAAAGCGCCTGCGAACAATTTTGCTTCTTTGCCTGTATTCCTTATGTATCACTCTCTTACACTCTCGTCATTGTGACGTACCATCGGTGTCATCTGGTTACTTCATGAAATTTGCATATGATTCTTGAAGATGTGTGTAGTGATTTTACAGTTGATATATTTAATTTAGAGTTCGATTTCCGTGTGACTCCGAATTATCCTTAATTTATGGACATGAGTGTATTTTAACAATAGAAAACCATAATGCTGGATAGATGAAATAGTAGTATGGAAACTTAACTGTAGTGACTTCCGTCATGTTCAGAGACCAAGTGCCTTGAGTTGGGGAAATATATTTCAAAGCAGTCAAAACAAACATTACAGTGATTGAGTCTTACTCGTTTAGCCATCTATGGGTCATCATAATTAACTACCTCTTGTGATAGAGATGGATTGACAAAGATTCAAATCCTTCAGTTAAACACAGTTTATTTTAAAACATCACTACATGCAATATAGAAAAATGGATCATGCAATCTGTGAGTTCCTACCACGTGGGCAGCCTGTTTGAGATAAGCTTTGCTAGGGCAAAATGATCATGCTCTGCCCTCTATCACTAAAAGTTTGTTCACTTTATTGTGTGATGCCATCTATTGACATGTTGGTGAACAATTTGATTTTCAGAATGTCCATTACAGCTGTAATAATAAAAAACAAAAAATATTGATGTTTATTGTTCTATTAAGCTGGTTCAATTCATTCAAAAAGGAGCTTATTTGGTGCCTAACCAGGTAGTTTGTTTTAAATCCTTTTTGTCCTATTATGAATCTCTAATATTTTATAACTGAAAACTTTCTGAATGACTTTTCAATGCTTGTTACACATTAAAAAATTCATGTATGACATTAACTATTTTCAGCTTACTTTTCCTTGCATGTTCATTTAAAAAGTACTTTTGTCTGTCATTTTATAAATGCTCGATTTGTTTTGCTTCTTCAAAATAAGAACTTCCAATTACTACGATTAATGTACAAGCAATTCTAGTTACATATTGTTAACTTAAAGGTTTGCTTATTACAATGTACATTTCAATCTAGCCTCATTACGATTAATGTACAAGCAATTCTAGTTACATATTGTTAACTTAAAGGTTTGCTTATTACAATGTACATTTCAATCTAGCCTCATTTTTTTCTCTACATGTATCTTTTCTTATATTAAGTCAAATTCAAAAGAAAATTCAGTGTCACTTTTCCTGAAGGGATAACTTTCTGCTCAGCAGTTTTGGCTAATTGGTTTTACTGCTATTTCATGTCATCATACCCTATGTTAGAAAATGGGAATTTAGTAATAACTAATACTGTGTGCAGTTTTAATTAGCTTGATGTCAGCATTTCGCTAGTAAAAGAGAAAAAGAAAGTGTTATGTGTTTGGTATGGGTGCAACATTAGGCTTCAATAACTAGGTCTCAAACCTGTTGGGCCCACCAACGGCCGAACGGTAAAGTCGCTGAACACTGGTAGTTCGGTCCGAGGTACAAATCCCGCGAACGGGCTGGCTGCATGGGTGTTCTCGTGGTTTTCCCCATGTGTAACATGTATACGAGCCAGTTTCCCTTAGAAAGTCCTTCACGAAGGCATCCCTCCCCTTAGGCAGATAGCCCTAGTGTGCTTTGCCATAATTAAATACACCACACCGTCAAACCTGTTGATTTGCTATGAGGTAATTTCAAGATTAGGTGAAGAAACAAGTCTTGAAAGCAGACTGCTTTAGAGGAAACAAGCTATCTATATACAGAGGAGAGATGAGTAAAAGTGGTAGTAATGTGTCATTTTCAAAACAGAGGTTGTTTCCAACGTTATGTATCACAGAGTGGGAAATGTATCAAAGTGAATAAAATGATGATAGCATAAAATGCGAGTAAGTGTTTCAAGTTAGAATGTGAGAATTTTATTAGAATTTTGTGGAAGATATTTTTCATATTGCTTTATATTTCAACATTGATCTTATCTAATTATATCTTTGAATTAGCTGCAGTTTTTATCTGTGCTATGCAATGAACATAGAGTCAATTATCTCCTATGTAGCAGCATTAGTATATTTCCAGGCTGCATGTAGCTCTCGTATCTTGTTCAAATATTTGATATTTTCCTTTGGCTTCTCTTTCTTAAGCTTTTGCATAGAAAACCTGTATCATGTATTAAAGTTGATTAAATGAACATTGTGAAAAAGTGTATGATTAATTGAATGCAGATGTGGGAACATCTAGCTCGTAAAGGAATAATAAAGATGGAAATGAAATAGGTTCGAAAGTCAGCTCTGCTGAAACAAGAGCAACATTAGAAATGATTACAGAATTTAAAAGAAATGTTTGGGAGAAGATTGTGTAAATGCATTCATAAAACAAAAATGCAGTATTGATGTAAAACAAAGTAGATTTTTTTTTTCTGTGTGTTGTGTGTGTTAAATGCAAGGCATGACTTTTGTTGTTTTAACTGTGTGTGTGTATATATATAATTTATTTCCTAAACAATATTGATTAATTGATTATCCATACTGATAAGTGAATCCATACTGATAAGTTATATTTTGAAAGATGTTTTGAAGTCTTGTTTTCGCACTAAATGAATTAAAGATCATACAACATTTCATATATATATGTATATATATATATATACACACACACACATATGTAATAATATAAATGTTGATGTCATGGTTGTTACTGAGGGCAGCTGATTAATAAAGAATTAGATGTACTCATGACAAGTTTGGCACTTTTTATTCTCATAAAATAATTTCAGTAGAGAGGGCTGAATGCAAAAAGCGTACTTCTTGATTAGATGCATCAGTGGTTTTAAAAATGTTGCAGTATATTTGAAGAATGGAAGTGCAGCAGCAGACAGCTTGTAAGACAGAGAAGAAACAAAGACATATTCTCGATTAAGAATGACCTTGATCTAAAGATTATTTTTATTTTTTTTTTTTTTCAAATCACTAAATTAGTGTTTTGATATTATTTCAGTTTTGTGCATTTAAAGTTACTACACAGCCATTGAATAATGTTCTGAAATGTCCTGTATATGATGGTTATAAAATATTCAAATCTGAATCTCATGATGTTTAATATTCAGGTGTGAATCAATCTATTTCTAAAGGTCTACACATCCATAAAACATCATAAAACCACAAAATTAATGTTGGCAAACAGTAATGATTAGCTAGGCCTCCTTTCATAGCTATGCTGGAAAGTTTTTTTGCTGTAACTATTTTAAACCTGAAAATGGACTGCATCTTGTTTATCTCTCTGTTAAATTTTCAGATATGAATCTTTCTTTTTCTAAAGGTCTACACCTGTATAAAATATCATATAATCTCAAAATAATTTTGTTACTGTTGGAAAGTTTTTTGATGTAACAATTTTAAAATTGGGAATGGAAAAAATCTTGTATTTATAATAGTGATCTCCTTTTTTTATATGTACATGTGCATAAAAGATCTATCAGATTCAGAAACATTTTTCTCTGTTCCAAGTCATGAACTTTTCCTAGAATTCTACTGTATAGTTAAGTTTCCATCTTCAGTTAGTAGCCTGAATCAGGTACCAAATAGAAATTTATTCTCTCTAATTGGCAAATCAAGTTTTGGGTATATCCTACCTTCAGGCTAACTTTAGCTGTCTACAGGAACTATGCTTGAAGCAATATTTCAGATATATGAATAAAATGTGTAGTGGAAATATACACCCTTTGAATGAATTTTGCTAGAGCATATTTTTTGACATACTGAAAGTTCTCATGTTACTGAGAGTGGTAGATCTTTAATTAACTGTGATTTCTTAGTTATTGATAATCTCTTACTTTGATGATGTAGTTGTGATTTTTTAAGGTTTATATATATATATGTGTGTGTTTTTCCTGTTAGGTGGCTAATATTCGCCCTGTACTTAAAGCATTAGACAAGTTTATGAGTACAATGAATCTTCGGAAGGTAATAAATCAATATTTCTATGACTGACAGTATTAATTTTTTAACATGTTCATATAATTTTCATCTGTATTGCTATCTAAAATATTGCTAAACATAATTATTTCCATTTCTTTCTTAGATAACTGTTATGGTGGGACTGCTTGAACAACAGTTTGAAAATCTGGATGTCTCTATATCAGTAAGTTTGACATTTCGTTTTAAATTCTTGATGGTTGTCTTATCTTTCAGTTGTAATATATACAACACATATATAATTATATATACATATATATTGTTGCAAGTTACAAGATTATCGATTTTCCAAGTCCGGAGAAGCAGAAAGAAATGTACATTTTATTATGTAAATAAGTACAATAATTAGCACAAGCACATTAGTAGCTGTAGGTAATTCAAGAATGTTGATATTAAGCAACTCCTTAGCGTATGATACATAAGCTTCAAAATTCCTCATATCACTCTCGGAGTAAACCCTAACTGTTGACATATATTCCTTTTTGGATAAAAATATATTTTAAACTTATTTAAAAGAAACTGGGAATAAGTACTTCCCAAGCATAGTATTGATTTTACAATTTCAATGAAAGAGTTTTATTATTATTTTGTTTATTGAAAATTTTTTACCGTTTCTTCTTTAACAGGTTGATGAAGACGCAGTGGCGAGAGCACCTGGAGTTTCTGTTCCAATGTCGCGAGTACACAGAGTTATTCTGGAAACTGCCGTATATAATGGTCTCTTGTATCATTTAGCACGAGCAAATGAGATTCGTAAAGTTGCATCAGCACCAGCTACAGCTGTAGCACAAGCTGAAGGACCAATTACTCGCAGGTTGTAGAACTTTCAGTTAATTTACATCTTATATCAGGACATTCTTTGTGGGGCATTTTTTAAAAATATTATTCCCATCATCTGAATGCATGAAGTCTTTTGCATTTTGTTAACCTGTGTAGAACATCCTGAAATTCCATGACCTGTTGTTTTTTTATTTCTGAAGTCATTAAATCAGTAGATATCCAGTTAAAAATATACAACCCTGAAACTAGGGTTTTATTTGAACTCAGCATTTAAATTACTTAAGTGTAATATCCATCCTGTTTGTTATTACTAACTTGACTACTGATACTTTTTATAGTTTGATTTAAATCTTTAATCCAGCTCAATTTCTTTAAGAACCCAGAATCCAAATTTTGCAGGAAATTTTTAATGAAATCAAAGGATTTATAGAAAGGAATTTTAACATTCTCTTAGTGGTTATAGTTAGTACAAAATAAAAACTTCAATCAAAATTCGGCTAGAATCTTTTAATGAAATCAAAGGCTTTATAGAAAGGAATTTAAATACTCTCTTAGTGGTTATAATTAGTAAAAAATAAAAACTTTATCTGATTATTTTGGAAAATGGTCCTGTTGAATTTTGGCATGTTGTTCAGAAGGAATTATGTCACAATAGTTAGAATGTGCAATTATGAAAGTTTCTGCCATCAAAACTTGGTATTGTCAGTGTTTGTAATAAAGTTTTTTCCAGTCTTGTAAAAATCATGGAGTTGTGAGATTACCTGTTGCACAAAAAGACTGCTGTGCAGGAACTCATTTTTGTACAGTGTAAGAAATGTCTTTAAACCATTCTGTAGCTGTAGCATCTTTAACCCCATTAGCTGCCAGTGTTGCATTGACACAGTGGTCAAATAACTACATATAAAATATAACTACCAAAGATTTTTATACTAGCAGAGATTATTTCTGTTAAAAATATTTATCAATAATAATTATGTTTAAAAACTTCAATCAAAATTCGGCTAGAATCTTTTAATGAAATCAAAGGCTTTATAGAAAGGAATTTAAATACTCTCTTAGTGGTTATAATTAGTAAAAAATAAAAACTTTATCTGATTATTTTGGAAAATGGTCCTGTTGAATTTTGGCATGTTGTTCAAGAAGGAATTATGTCACAATAGTTAGAATGTGCAATTATGAAAGTTTCTGCCATCAAAACTTGGTGTTTGTCAGTGTTTGTAATAAAGTTTTTTCCAGTCTTGTAAAAATCATGGAGTTGTGAGCTTACCTGTTGCACAAAAAGACTGCTGTGCAGGAACTCATTTTTGTACAGTGTAAGAAATGTCTTTAACCATTCTGTAGCTGTAGCATTCTTTAACCCATTAGCTGCCAGTGTTGCATTGACACAGTGGTCAAAATAACTACATATAAAAATATAACTACCAAAGATATTTTATACTAGCAGAGATTATTTCTGTTAAAAATATTTATCAATAATAATTATGTTTATAATAATTAGTCTCATACTTGAAGCAAAAGTTTCAACCAGATATTTTTATGAAAAATATTTAATGAAAAAATGGCAGTCTTTAGGGGAATCTATTTTTAGCCAAGGTACTTTGTGACACTAGGCATTTGTCATTTTACTTGTTGCTGCAGTTTAGTGAACTAGTGTATTTTCAACTGTGAAATTGACCAGTTTCAGCATTAATTAATTAAATTGCACTGAAAACAAATTATTTTATCAGAACATATGTACCATTACGAAAGATATAATATATAATCATCCATATCCTTCATAATGAGTGCATGGTATTCTTTTTACCCTCATATAATCACTCGACATAATATTCTCTATGGTTCTCATTTTTAGGACTCGCATTCAAACATGTTATTAGAAGAATTTATATATTTAATTATTAAGTTTTGTGTGTGCAATTTGAAAATATTAAACATTTATTTTCTTATGCCCTAACTTATAACACTGTTTTTTTTTGGGGGGGATACTTCGTTAAAATATGTAATGAGTTGTGATGTACGTAGGAAATGATAAAAGGGAGCGTAACCAGTTTTTATTTGTTTGTTCATTTGATTTGTCAAACCTGTATAGTTTAAATACATACATATGTGCATAGAAATTTTAAGTATATGTGCATGAAAGTTTGTTGCTGTTAATGTCATTGTAGAACATTATATTAGGCCATATAAAAAATCTCCATGTTTTTTTTTGGTACATTTTTGAACAAAATTTTTTTACTGAAAATCAATTTTAATCAAGTACATATTGACCATTATTATTTGTGACCTTTTGCCATTTTTCAATTCATAATTCCATTAGTGTAGAACTTCTGTGGTTTATTGTCCAAACACTTGGCCAAGTGATTTTCAGCGGACCTTGGGTCGGCCAATTTTTTACCATCAAGAGAGTTTTGCAAGGACCGAAACAAATGGTAGTCAGATGGAGCAAGGTCTAAGCTATATGGTGGATGCATCAAAACTTCCCAACCAAGTTCTGTCAATTTCTTCCGAGTCATCAAAGATGTGTGTGGCCGCACATTGTCATGATGGAACACAACTCCCTTTCTGTTGGCCAATTCTGGTCACTCTTTCTGGATTGCTTCATTCAAATGGTCAGGTTGTGCACAGTACAGGGCCGAATTGGTGGTTTCACCAGGTTGTAGCAGCTCATAATGAACAAACACTCAACATAACCTTATTTGGTGACAATCCAGGCTTTGAAGTTATTTTTGGAGGGTTACCGGCCTTTGACCATATTTTTTTATATATTTTATCATATATTTGGCCTTTGACTTTTGATATTCTCATATTTCACGCATTTTTCATTGCCTGTAATGATTCGCTTCAAACATGGTTCGATTTCATTGCATTTGACTGATGGGTAATTCAGTCAAATTTCTTTGCGTTAATTAGTGTGGCACCCAAACATCAAGTTTCTTTTTGTAGCCTGCTCTTTTCAAATGATTCCAAACTGTTATGTGGTTGATGTTTAGTGCCTCTGCTATTTCCTGACAGCTTGCATTCTCGTCTTGCTCCACCAGTCACAAAATATCATTGACTTTTTCAGTGACTGGCCGACCAAAGCAAGATTCATCTTTGACATTGAAATTTCCAGAACAGAATTGAGCAAACCACGCTTTGGTCCTTTGTTCATTCACAGCATTCTTACCGTACACTTTACAAATTTTTGGCATGTTTTTGCAGCATTTTTACCTTTTTTATAGTAAAAAAGCATCATCTAGCTTATTTCTTCAGATATTTCATTCATTTTCAAATCCATATATCTTTTTGCATGAGGAACGAATTAAAAAAGCTATCTTCACAGAGGACGCTGAAAATCACCTTTTAAGTGCATGTTTGTTTGAGAGAATTGGGTGAGTGTTGCCGGATATATAGGCATCAACACCAAAATGGCAAAAAAATCGCAGAGACTTTTTATATGACCTAATATGAAGAAAATTTGGTGCACCAAAATCATCAAAATAAAACTGTACAAAAATTTTTTCAAAAACTTAAAAAATATTTTTTATTAAAATTGTTTTTGAAGTAATGCATGAAACCTGAGAATGCTTCATGATTCACTTAAGTAATTTGTATTTATTTTTTCCTATTTAGCCGAAGAATTCGTGTACTGAAGAAATGAATGATGATTTTCAGGAATTATTTGTTAGAAATTATGAAGATGTTTGCTGTAATCAGAGCTTTTTCTTTATGTATGTGTTTCCTTTATGTATGTACGTAGTCACTTAAGCTTCTAAGTTGTCATAATGGGTCTATAATGAAGTGCATAAAAATGTTGAAACTGCAGCTGTTATTTTCATATTCATTCTACATTTATGGGGAAAAAATATTTCTATGTGTACAACTGTTGTTTGTATGGGAGCCTTGATGTATTACATTCTTTCTTAATAAAATAAACTTTTTCAGTACTGTTTCTTGGTGATTTTATTATTTAATTCAGAACATAACCAATTTTTCCTTTCCACTTATTAACACACACTGTCTGCATTTTTTAAAATAAGAATTCCTTTTTAATTAACTAAAAATGTGTGTAGTAAATATATAGATTTCACAGATTTTGTAATAAGTTATTATATTGCAAGGTTGCATACATATGCAATCTTTCTTACATAACCAGTAAACTTTGTTTTAAAAAATTGTATGAATTTCGGTTGTTTTTAAGTTATGCTGTATGTGACTTTTTAAAAAGATATGATTTCAGTGGAAACATCTAATACAGTTGAAATTTTGTTATTTTAGTCAACATTTACTTTCTCATTAAGTTATGATTTGTAATATTTAGAATAGTATAAATGATTGAAGTGTTTCTAATAATGTCAGTATTTTTCCATAAATAGATGATTAGTTTCTGCTGCACTTATGTGAACTCTAAATAGATTGGGGGCAGGCATAGTTTAATTGGTATCCTTAAAAATAAAAGTATAAAACTGACTGCTAAAGTTGAGGTGAGGTAGTAAATGTAATAAAAATAAAAGTTTTTATCACCAAGGGAAACTTTCTCTCAACATTACTTGTAAAAAATTCCATAATATATATTTTCTGCATTTTTTCTACCTTTTTGGCATATCCCATGTATAAATTGTCAATAGAATTTTATTTTTTAGTTATTAATTAGATATTATGCTTTTTGATTTTTATATTAAGTTTCTGTAAGAAGTGCATTGTGTTACAGGTAAAATTTTGTTCTGAAAAGAAAACGCATGTTTACATCCTATTTTGAATTTAAATAAATAAATGTCATCTACAGTACTACTAAGTGCTTTGCAGACAACAGAATAGAAAGAATTCTTTTCTTTCTATACCCTTATTTGGTCATAAATAGTCACAAAATATTAACATTGTAAAATATTGCATTCTTTAAATTATAATAAAATTCTCTTCACTTTGTTATATTATTTATAATGCTGTACATGCAAAATGCTGTCCCATCCTTTCCTAATGCTTCTATTTTCACAAGGCAAAATACTTGCAGTGAAGCTGATTGCCAAAGTTTAAAAGTAAGATATTAGTTTAGATTTTTTATTTCTGAATTCTGTGTTTATTTGATGGAACAAATACAAAAAAGTAGTCTGAATGTTATTTCAACATTATGCAGCAGACATTTGAATTTAACAGATTTTATATAATGAAATATTAAACTGAAAAGGTTTAATCCTTACATTTTAAAGAATGTGAAAGTCTGAGGGAAATTATGGTTGACTAATTAATAGAAGCAATCATAACCTCATTGGAAAGAGTCTTGCTCTGAAAATCAGAAGGGAATCATAGTTGTTTTATCAAACAGCAAATCTGGTAAGAAAGGAACAGAAAGTTCATGCATCTGTCACAGAATTTTGACGAAAAAGAAATGAAATTCTACCCTAATATTTGAAGCAAAATTCAAAATGAGATTCTAAATAGTGTTGCCCCCCAAAAAATCACATTTTTAGGCCAGATTTTAGCAAATACAAATTCGCTAGGAATGGGATGGAAGTCAGAAATTGTGATTTTAACGCTTATAGGAATTTTTCCATATTTTAGTACAAGGAGTGATCAAATGAAAAGGTACGAAATGACACGGTGGGTACAAATGTAGACTTTATTCAAAATATACACCATAGACACAACCCCTGAGCACAACGATCCCACTGATAAACAAGCCGCAGGATTCCTTGTTCCCAGAATTGCTGTGGCCATGACGAGATCAGTCCTTTACAGTGTCCTTGAGTACGTCGTCCAAGTTGAAGCGCTTCCCTTTCAGGTGTTTCTTCAGTGGACCAAACACATGGAAATCGCAGAGCGACATGTCCGGACTGTAGGTCGGATGGTCCGACGTCTCCCACTTGAACTTGGCCAGTTCTATGTGTGTGACTCGGGAGACGTGTGGATGCGCGTTATCATGGAGCAGAACCACACCCTCTGTGAGCAGCCCCGGTCTTTTGTTCTTGATGGACCGACACATCGGAGTTAATGGTTTTTCTGTGTTCGAGGAATTCCGCAAGTAGTGGACCTTGAACATCGAAAAAGACGGCGAGCAACACCTTGCCTGCTGACGGCACGGCTTTGAACTTTTTTAGGGGGAGGTGATGATGCATGCTTCTACTGCTTGCTGTCCCGTTTTGTCTAAGGCTCATAGTGATGGCACCAGGTCTCATCACCTGTGACGATCCGCTCCATGAAAGCGGGGTCTTCCTGATACCGAAACAGATGTTGCAGTGCTAGCCCCATACGCAGTTTCTTTTGCTGGTCCTTGAGCTGCTTCGGAACCCAAGCGGCACACACCTTCTGATATAGCAACCTGTCGTGAACAATGGTCCACATGGTTCCATAGCTGACATCTACCTTAACCGCCAACATTCGCAATGTGACACGCCGATCACTTCTCACTAGGTCGTCCACCTTGTCGATGAGATCGCTCGTGATGACAGTGTTTGCCTGGCCTGGTCTCGGGTCATCACCCACCCTCTCACGGCCTACACGAAAACGGGGCACTCCATTTTCTCCCGTAAACTGTCACCATCCGGCGATGAATGGCTGCCGGTTTGTCACCTTCCGCTCTGAGAAATCATAACACCTCGCTACTCCTCAGTCGTCGAATTTCGCAATGCGAACGCCGTGCTGTCCTCATACGGACTGCCGCATCATTTAGACACCGCTTTTCATAAGAGCCTCTGCTCTCTCCTGCGAATGCGGGGGACCGCGCGTGTTCTGATCCCAGTCAGAGACTCCAATCGCATCCCGAGATGTAAATAGAAGTGTATAATTCTTATGCGTATAGTATTTGGAGTCTGTAATAGTTTTTAAAATTGACTAAACTTGGAGTTTTAAATATTAATAATTGCGAGAGCGGATTGAAATCAGTGGTATATTACAGTGTATAATTAAATACTGTTCTAAACTTCTTTTTTTGGGGGGGGGGTAACAAACATTTTCACAACAAATTACCAAAGTAGAGAGTAGAATAATTTCTCTTACCTTGTATTCAGTGCAACATCATCATAGCTTAATAAGAGTAGTAATCCAAAAAGAGGTAGACGAAAATTGCAATTTTACAAACACATTTTAGTTATTCATAATAATAGATTAAGATTCATTAGTTTTCCTAAACTGTTCATCACCATTTGCATACCAACAAAATGCAAGGAATCCTCATATGGTGACCATCTATAAACGTGATCAGTATTTCTGAGAACGGTGACTATTTACTTAGAGGGTCAGAATAATCTGTAGTAAAAGACTTGTGGAAAACACTCGCAGTATTTAATGCATTCAAATTTCACGAACATAAAATAGTCTGATAACTAGTTTTATATATTCAAATAAATAAATACCAATAAATCTTTTAAATGCAGCTTGCTAACAGAAAAATTGTATATCCTTCAGGGTATTGACTAGAACATAAAAATCATAGAATCTCATTCTGTAGCTTAGTAGTCATTAACTCTTATCTTGCAGATAAAGCATTGCATGAAATCCATTTTTATTTAAATCCAAATTGTTTTAAATTAATATTAACTTACACTGAGATTAAAAACTTAAATTAATCTATTATACGATAACAGGGTTTGTACAGTCCTTAAAAGTTCTTAGATTTTGGGAATCAAATTAATCTATTATACGATAACAGGTTTGTACAGTCCTTAAAAGTTCTTAGATTTTGGGAATCAATTTTTGGTCCTTAAAAGTAGCGTCTAGTCCTAGCATGATTTATGTGCAATAGGCATATCTTCAGTATGGTAACCTTCGTCGCTTGGTCAAAGAATGTGTTAGAACATCTATATGTTTTGCTTCGCGATGAATTCACAATTCAGCAATGCGTAAGTGCAGTGCTGCGGAGTGTGAGAAATTTGTTCATTTTGTGCCCATTTATGCTAGCAATTATTTACTTTTACAGGTAAAATTAATGTTACAGGACTTAAAGAGCATATGGGGTGAACTTTGGGCCCAAATATGCGAGAATTTATTTACTGGGGACTTGAAAAGCATATGGGGAAATAGATTTTATTTTTTTCACTCGTGTTGATGTCTATGAACTGCTTAAATTAATACAGTAGGTTTTTGTAATGTGCAATAACCAATTAGTTGTATTTTACATTTATTTCCAAATGTATTTTTGTTTGATATTTAATGTTATATTTACTGTTATAAAATTTCTTTTTAAATTCATGCTTCAAAATAATGTCTCATCCTAGGCAAATAATTCTTGAGAGCTTAACATAATCAAATAATTTAACCTCATTTTACAAATTTGTTTTTTATTTCATATTTACATAAAAAAATTCATGTTTTAACAGGCATTCAGCAAAATAACATACTTTGGCTCTCTCTTTCCATATTCGTGATTACATTATCTTACCTTAGTGTTAATCCAAAAGGTAATCAACAATAAGTCTTTGAACATTCTAAACATACAAAATTACCTTTCATACTAATCACACTAAATATATTTAATCTGTGACAGCTTAACTTCTTCAACGTTTCATGCTTCTTATTCAGGCTTAACTTCCACAACGTGACAAAATTTAGTGGAATGACAACATGTCTTTAGTTGCCAATCTTATTATACATCGCCAATTCTGTATAATGGAAGCCAGCTAATAACTTCAACGGAGCTTGTCATTGCGCATGCGTGAAGCATAAACTATGCTAGGGCTAGACGTTACTCTTAAAAGTTCTTAATTTTGGTCAAAATTGGCAGAAGGTCTTTAATTTTAATCATCGGAAAATTTCTGTGTGTTTTTGCGACTGCCATTCTGAGTGTGAATTAGCATTTTGGAGGAATATTTTTGGCTATTCACTGACAAATGTGGTTATCTTTTGAATTGGTGAATGGGTTCATAGGTTATAATTTGTTCCTATTTGTAATATAAATGGTTGGATACTTGAGTTTCTGAGCAAGAAGTGCAACATAAGCATTTCGAAATTATTTCATTT